AAATGATGACGTCAAATTTTCAAACTCAATTTTTGGCAATTTTAGACCATGTAGGGCAAAACAAAGACCACCATTGGACTCCCCGTGACGAGCTGCATCGAATTGATACCCATTTTATGCAAAAATATCAATTTTGAAATTTGACCTAATATGACCTGACCTTGACCGGACCTTCACCAAAACGTGACCTAAGCTGGCCCCAAAGGCTGCTTGACCCACATAGTCGCATTTGTCATGTAAAATGGACCATAAAACATGTATCACACGACACTTTCATATTGTGACCCCTAGGTGACCCCCAGTGACCTGACCTCTGTGACCTGACCTGGTATCAGTGATCTCAGATAGCGAAGTATGTGTTTGACGAACAATGTACCATCGATGGATTTCAAAAACTTACCAATTTACTCGTTTTCACAACACATTTCTTGAAATGCCTGTGAACGGTGAAAATCCGACCTTTGACCTGACCTTTGACGTCATCGGTTTGACCTAGGTCAATGAAATTTGGTCACAAGGTAGTTCCAGGGTAAGGCTATCGAACGACGTTTGAATTTTGAAAATCGGCCGGTAACTTTCCGAGATCTTAGTGGGGCCGAAACGCCCCCCCCTACGGGTGGTAGGGTCCGCCGGTAGCCCTACGGGTTACGCCTATGGCGGTGCCGGAAGGGAAGGGACCATTTCGGCCATTCCGGCTGGATCCGCCTTTGATCCAAGACCAAGTACCTATATGTAATATCCAATTCCACACTACTAGGCATCAGACTTGTAAACGACTCAAATTTTTTTTGAGTCGATTCTTTGTTTGAGTCTGGAAATTTGAATCGATTCATCAAACGACTCATGATGTTAAATTTAATTGATTCGAATCAACTCATGACTCATCAAGTTCCTCGATGAAATGATTCGAATCAACTCATGACTCGAGCAACTTAGCCAACGGAATGATTCGAATCAACTCATGACTCACACATTTTGATGAATCGATTCAAATCAACTCATGACTCACACGACATTTTTATTGAACTTATTTCATTCAACCCATGACTCACTATATAGGCATTTGTTGATTATTTGACTCAAAGCTATGATAAAATGAATATGCCGCATACCACAATTGTATTCCTTTACATTCCGCTCCTTTACATTATTCTGAAGATTCTATGATGTCATAAAACAAGTTTCTTTTTAAACTTCTATTTCATGGAAAAATGTGCATTTTGTGGTTTATTGGCATCGCAATTTTGCAGTTTATAGGTGAGTTTATTTATATTATAGCATAGCCTATAGGTAGTTTATAGGCTATAGGTAGTTTGGGCGTATTTGACTCTATAGACGCCCAAACTCTTATGCTGTTGATTGATTATTGGGACCAAATTGGGACTGGGAGAAGGGGAGGCAGCCGCAGGTGTCAATTCTGACTTCTGACATGTAAAATGTAGGTACCTACAGGGTGTTTCACAATAAATGTTACTTTTGAATAGCTTAAATGAAGATCTAACTTGTTCGTAAGCGCGTAAATTTTATATGCATTTTGCTGCAAATTTGTTGCGGTTTTTAGTCGTTATATTTTTTTTTTTACAAACCGTCAACGGTTCCATCTCTATGGACGTGCAATGCCACCACCGTCAAAACGGGTCAATTCACCGTGTGCAGATGATGAGGCGGTATGGGTGGTCATGGATTACGGCGCTTTGCGGAGTCTGACTGCAGTGCGACGGAGTTTCGGTAGCCATTTTAAAAGGAGGAAGGATATTCCGTCAAAATGTCTTTCAAACGGGTGGAAGAAAGGTTCCAGAAGACTGGAAACACGAGACCAGCCCCGCCTCCTGGCCGGACGGCGATCCCAGAAAATCTGGTTGAAAAAGTCAGACGGAAGGGTGGCATAGTGGAGAACCCGTGAAGGGTGTTGAACTGAAAGTTATATGTTCATCAGTCCTACTGTTCTGCTGTCTCATGTGGTAATACTCATGAGCCATATGTAATACATGTCACTGAAACATCGTCGTTTGAAAAGCAACATTCATTGTGAAGGACCCTGAAGCTTAACAGCGAATTGACCCGTTTTGATGGCGTGGACATTGCACGTATACATAAGGAATGCAGTTGATGATTTGTCATAGTTTTTGTAAGGATAAAAAACCCGAAAGAATTTGCAACAAAATGAATATAGAATTTATGGGCAGACGAATAGTTGAGGTCATTTTAAAAGCCATTAAAAGCTTATCAAAAGTAACGTTTATTGTGAAACACCCTGTAGGTAGTGTAGCAGGCACTTGGTTTGGTAAGACTAAGTACCTACCAACTGCCAAATGCTTTTGGCTCATTAGGCGCCTGTGCCTGAGCCTCTGAGGCTCTTGTAAGTCTGAAATATGGAGTTAAGTGATGGCTAAAGCTGAGGGGGTGATCTAGCATTGATTACTAGGGTGTTGATGGTGACTTGTAAACGACTCAAATTTTTTTTTTGAGTCGATTCTTTGTTTGAGTCTGAAAATTTGAATCGATTCATCAAATGACTCATGATGTTAAATTTAACCCGCGCCCCACTGGGGTCTGCGTATAACACGCCCTACTGGGGGGGGGGGGGGGGGGGCTATTCATAGCCCCCCCTCCTAACTCCGAAACTACTGGGCCGATCGTCAAAATTCAAACGGCGTCTGATAGCCCCGGAAAAACTGTCGAGCGAAACCTAATTTTATTGACCTCGAGGTCACTGATGACGTCACAGGTCAGGTCAAAGTAAAAATTATTCGCATTTTGGCTTCTTCACGTTTTGGGCTCTGGCCGCCGTCTTACAAGTCAGATCAGGCTCATTTTTGGTTCACACACTCGTGAACAGATGCTCTAGATACTCTGAGGGTACCAAACTTGTACTTTGATTTTCAGGTCAAGGTCAGGTCATCACAGGTCACGAAAATATTATATCATGCGTCGGTCACGTGACACATGTTTTATGGTCCATTTAGGCCAAACATTTCGAATTTGATGTCGTCTGTGTCATGCGAGGTCATTTTGAGTCAAATTTAGCTTAGGTCAGGTCACTTTCAGGTCAAAAAAGGTCAAATTTTGAAGTTAAAATATTTCAACAAAAAAGGTGTCTATTCGATGCAGTTTGAGCTCAGAAACACGATGGTGCTATTTATATTGGCGTACGATGTCAAATTCGTGCTGAAAAATTGATTTGAAAAATTAATAATTGTTAATTTTTTGCAATAATGCGTATAACTTGGCCATTTTTGAAGATATTTAGCTAAAACTTGCTAGGGGTAGTCATAATAATGCGTTCTATCACATATATTCCGTTTTTTCGAAAAGTCAAAAAATTTTTGAAAAAAATGTAAAAATATAAATTTTGAATTTAATTATTTAAAATTTTTCGAAATTTTCAAAATTTCGAAAATCCGAGATAGCAGTTTGATAGCGCAGTCTATTCTGAGTCCTCTCATGCAAAGAAATTGGATCTAGCTTAAAAACTGAGCTCTTGGGAGCGATTGCCGTGGTTCAATGTTTTGCGTCGAAATCGGCCGAACATGACGTCACTCTGACGTCATTTCCGGCCGACCTATGGTAGGTACGAAGTTTAAATTTTGACACAAGGTGTCAAATTGATGCAGCCGAAGGTACTGAAAGTTTGGCGTCGATGCGTCAAGGGGTTTGGAAGTTATTGCAGAAAAACGGGAGGGGGGCTATAAATAGCCCCCCCCCCCAGTGGGGCGCGGGTTAATTGATTCGAATCAACTCATGACTCATCAAGTTCCTCGATGAAGTGATTCGAATCAACTCATGACTCATCGAAAAACGGTTTGATTCTGAGTCCATTCACGAATCAACTCAGAGTCGTTTACAAGTCTGCTAGGCATACCATCCATTGAAACTCGCCCGTATTGGTGTTTTTTTTTCCAGCCGCGAACGAGGGGGGGGGGGCGTTGGACCTCTCCTTGCCGTGTCGCCCCTGATCGAGCTAGAGCTTCGCGAAAAAACGAGCCTGCTGCCCGTGACGAGAGGAAGCCAATGGTACCCAATTTTAAGGTCCTAGGTCATCGGCTGACCTTTCAGGTCAGGCCAATGACCCAACACTCGGGAAAATAGGGACCTGTTAGAAAGTCGTAAAGCGTGACTGCTATGGGGTTTTTCGGGGTGCTGATCACGAATATCATGTTAGTTTTGATCACGGATGATGTCGTCATGCATTTAGGCCAGGTCGGGTCAAGTCAGGTCAGGTCAACCATTAAGGGTTTTCGTAGTAGGTGGCAACTGCCTCTGACAGCTTCGTAACATGTTACGAAGGCAATAAGACTACATCGTAGATGTTCAAATGGTTGCTAAATTCGAATTCAGCTCCAAAAACCAGCCTGGAAACATGTAAAATTCGAAAAAGTGAACCGAGGTCATCAAAGGTCAATGACCTGACCTGACCTTCCGGTGACCTTGCCACCCACCCTAATGCATGGGAGCAACAACATATCCCATGTTTGAACATGGGATAACACTAAACGTGCCACTGCCGCCATGACGGACCACTCAGCTGTGTGGAACGGTGAGTACCTAAAGCTAAACACTCAACGTGCCGCCATGACGGACCACATCAAAGCTGAGTTGAGCAGCCTATGACGTCATGATATGCGTGTTTAGTGCCGCCCGACAGCCCTTGCTGGCATATGTTGGTGTGCATTGTGTTGTTTTGTATTATATTGCATTTCGATATTGGGCATTGCTTTGCATTATATTCTTTGTATTGTATGGTTGTTACGTTAGGTATGTGTAATGTGTTGTATTTATCGACATCGATAAATCGTTTGTTGCCTGAACACATGTCAAGTGATTCACGTATTCCGTACCTCTCTGCGTTGGGCCAGTATTTTCAACTACCCGCACTCTTTGTGTCCATCGGTCCACCATCCCCCCCAAATCTCTAACATCCCCCCCTAAATATCTAACACCCCTCCCTATGAGTCTCTAATTCCTCAGGACTCAGGACTCAGGACTCTCCCTTTTCACAGGACTCCCGCCCCACCAACCACGCGACGATCCAAAGTCTGGCCGCGCTGCTGGGTCTCCAGGCGGACGGCGCCCGCGGTGGCCCCGTGCCGGCGCCGTGCTGTGTTCCCGACGTCATGGATTCGCTAACACTGCTCTACTTTGACGAGACCAGGCAAAATGTCGTACTGAAAAACTACCCGAATATGGTGGTGAAGAGTTGTAGTTGCCGCTAGGCGGCGCTAGTAGAGTGGTTATAGATGTCGCTGCCGCCGGGTCGGGTGAGTTTTCGGTCCAGTAAGTAGCGTGAAGGAGCCGAGTGTGTGTGGTGTCACTTGTCAGGACGCTGTGAGTGACGTCATCACCTGCTGATGTGTGACGTCATGAAGTATGTCAATCACAGGCGATCGATTGTGCATGCAGTGCGTCCTTTGATAAGTCAAACAATGTTATACCGTACATTTGAGTAAGTATATCGCGATATATTCCACACTGCTATATGTAGACCTCACACATCATATAATTCGCATTCCTACCATTTCTTTTTTTTACCAGATAAACATGAAAATCATCGTCTAAAGCGATACCTATTTTCTCTCTGCATAGTCTACGCTCAAGTCTAAGCGTGAATTCGCCTATTTCGTTGCATTTTATATAGTGTAAGGTACCTGTGTCTCGTATGAATGGGCTGACAAAAGAGGGTGTTTCGATTTCGCTTGTTCGATGTTGTTAATGGTTGAAATGTGGTTTCTTTTGTTCATTCAAGTGCAGCTCGACAACATGGGCTCATCCTGCGTTGTATGACGTATGTATTGCAAATACGTGTTTGTGACTGAAACTGTCGGGCGTGACTACTTTAGGCTCTATCGGTCTTAAAGTCAAACAAGATGTTCAAAAAGTAGGCTAAGTAACATAGCAAGGGCTAGCTACTGTTAGACCTCACGGCATGCCATCACGAGTGTTAGGGTTCAAACCCCATGCGAAGCTTTGGGTCATATGTGTAGTAGTCATGTGGTACACCGGTCTTAGCCTCCCACATGAGAGTTGCCGCTTCGATATAGTGGATGGTTGGGCTCGGATAGCATTGATGTCGTGTTATTTGTAATTTCGGTGTTGTGGCGATACCAGCTGGGTGTATGCTATTGATGTCATTTACATAGTCGGAATACCGATACCAAACCAATTACCAACCGAAACCGCGAGAAAATACCGAAATCGAACCATTTTGAGAACATAAGGGAAATACCTACCAACTTTTTCCGATTTCTAAACCTCTTATACATTAGCCCTCGCCGGACCTATTGGTTTTCTACATACGCGCCGGCCGAGGGGGGGGGGGGCGGGTACGACCCCCCCTCGCCGTTTCGCCCCTGGTGGAGCTAGCACGTCGCGATAAAAACGAGCGTGTGCGCCGTTACGAGACGCAGAGATTGGTACCCGATTTTAAGGTCCTAGGTCAACCGGTGACCTCTGAGGTCAGGTCAAGTGCCCAAAGGTACGGTTCAGTTTTTGGTGAATAACTTCGCAAAAAACGGCCGCAGAGCCGCGATTTTGGCAGCATCGTGTTCGCCTCGCTCAGGCGCGTCGAATGATATACTTTTTGTTCGGGTCAGGTCAACTTGGGGTGTTGACCTCAGGTCAAGGTCAGGTCAGCACCCCCAGGTCACGAAGTTGGTCGAAAGAGGTCATGTCGCATATCATTCGATTCGGCAGGTCTTTCTGAGTCCATTGGTGGCTTCCGCGACTCGCTAGCTCAATTTGATCAAGAGTTATTGACGAAAAACTAATTTGACCTTGATGACGTCATAAATGACGTCACGCAAGGTCAACATTGCAAAAGTGACGCATCTAACCTTGCAAGGAGTGCATCAAATCACGATTCTCTGTGCTTGAGATAGTTGGAGATCGTTCCCGGCGCCAGAATAGCAGTTTTCATTTTTCCCCATTGGCTTATAATGGTGAGGTCACGAAAATGACCTGACCTAATATGACCTTTAGGAAAAATCCGAGATATACAAGTTGTGAGACTCATGATGGATACTAGATCCTGCAAGTTTCATTTCCCTGTGACATCTCCTCTGGCAGTGAGGGCGTTGCGAAGTTGCGACATCTGAAGACCGTGCAGAGGTTCACTTATGACGTCAATTCATAGGTCAGTGACCTGACCTGACTCAAAAATGCGGTTGGTGTCAAAAGATCCGGCTTGAATCAAAGGTCAGGTATGCCAAGTTTCAGCTCCCTATCGCCAGCGTGTTCGGAGCTGTCGCGAAAAAACACTATGGGGGGGGGGGCGGCACCCGCCCCCCCCCTCGGCCGGCGAGGGTTAGAGGCTTCATGATACCAACAAAATACCAAAAACGGTCCGATTGAGATACCAAATACCAAGTTTGAACTTGGTATCGGTTTGGTATCGGTATACCAAAAAGCTGGTATCCGATTGACATCTCTAGCAGGGCTGCGGAGTCGGAGTCGGGGTCGGAGTTGGAGTCGGTCGGAGTCGGCAGTTTTGCCCGGAGTCGGAGTCGGAGTTGGAGTCGCTAAAATCTTACCGACTCCGACTCCGGAGTCGGAGTTAACACTGCATGACTCAAAGTCATGCCCTACACCTGGTTGCTTCACGATATTTCGCTCATTTACCTTTCGTAATCAGATTTTGTTGAAGCTAAGGACATACCCCTGTTCTGAACGATCGTTTTCATTGAAAAAAGCTAGACGCCTAGACGGCTGCTGCGTCTAAGCCTGCTTTTTTATTGCCATTTAAGAAGTGCCTACTTATTTGCAATGTAAGGCATTGGAACGCGCAATTGGCCGCCTCAGCCTTCAGGTACGATAAAAAGATCTCCGACATGAAATTTGATTTCAATATATGGACTTAATGATCAATGTCCGGAGTCGGAGCTGGAGTCTGAGTCGGAGTCTGAGTCGGAGTCGGAGTCGATTTTGGAAGCCGGAGTCGGAGTCGGAGTCGGAATCACCTAAAAACCCATCGACTCCGCAGCCCTGATCTCTAGTGTATGTTGTATGTTGTGGACGCTGTTGGGTGGCGATGTAAGACGCCAACAAATCCAATGGCGATACGCTTTGGGTGTATGTTGTATGTTGTGGACACTGTTGGGAGGCATTGGCTCCCGTAGCTCCGTTGTTAGAGCGTCGGACTCCGCGTGGTGAGAGCACGCGCTCCCGGTTACAACAGTCCGTGTTCGAAGCGCGACGGGCGCTTGACAAGTTTATGGGCCTCTTGACAGGTATGGTTGCGGTTGGTGGCAGGCCGTAGCCAGGCGAAGTCGGTGAGGGGACCGGCCGTGCGCGGCAATGTGCGCACGTTAACCCGCGCCCGGCTGGGGGTCCTGGATTTCCACGCCCTGCTGGGGGGGGGGGGGTGTTTGAACACCCCCCCCCCTTGTAACTCGGCTCCTGGGCCACGTAGCGATACGCGGAAGGCGGCGTTCGAAAGAGCGTCAAAAATAATGACGAAATTACTTCGGTCAATTTTTTGGTCAGGTCAAAGGTCAGGTCACCAGAGGTCATTGAAGGCAAAATTTCGCCGATTTCCAGGTCGAATGTCGAAAACTTCCAAGAAGCCAACGCATAACTCGGGAACCAATAGAGCTACAGCGCCGCGGAAAAGCGCATTCGATAGCCCTATTAACGCCCTTTCTGGGTAATTCTCTCAGATTTGATCTAACGTCAACGGTTTTGCCTGCAGGGGGCAAAAACTGCAAAAATAGCCGATTTTTTCGAAAACAGTTTTTCTGCAATAACTTTTGACCCAAGCCTTGTACGAGCTTACTTTTACCGGCATCGTGTTCCTCTCGTCAAGACGCATCGAATGAACTATAACTTGACCTTGAAAGGTCAACTTGAAAATTTGACCTCAGGTCAAGGTCATGACCTGACCGGAAAGGGTCATGTTGCATATCAGTCGATCCGTATCGTCGAGCTGAACATATCTAAGGCGTTTTCATCGCTCTAGCATGCCTCTATCAAAAGTTATTTGCGAAAAACTGTTAGATACCATTCGTGACCTAAGATGACCTCAGGGCATAAACAAGGGTCACGGACACCATTTTCATGTTCAGTGTGTCTAAACCACTTGTAATTCGGTGTTTGGGAGTGTTTATAATGTCTTTTGTCCAAAAGAGGCGCATTTCAATTTTCTCCCATTGACTTATAATGGGGAGGTCGCAAAATTGACCTGACCTTAGGTCATCGATATCCAAATTCTGAGATATACCCGGGGACCCGATCTATGGAACCGGTCTGGACCCGGATGGGTCCAGACCGGGTTCCCCAAAATATTTGGCCGGGTCCAACCGGGTCCTATCATTTCCCTGTGCTTTATGGTAAATATTAATATCTTTTATGCTTTGGCAAACATAGTCATAGTTGATGCAGTTTCCAGTTCATAAGTCCCAATTCCACTTTTGAATTTTAATATTCCTGCAGATTGGGCTACCTATTCTATAGCATACTGGTCAGTCTTGCTTCAATTTCTTATCTTGTCACCTACAACAGAATAAACAAGTTCTAAGTGCTAGCAATCCAGAGAACATTTCACCAAATGTTTGTACGGATCACTTCCATTCAGTTTGCTGTACAATTACACCTAGCAATATTTTGAGCTGTAGAAATCAAATACCAATATCATATGTAGGTAAGTAGGTATGACTGAAATCCATTTATAAATGGACACAAATCCAATTGAAGCAAGGCTGACCAGTGGCATTCTCACCTGCCTTTTCAAAGACATTGACATACCAAAGTCACTATGCCCACCGGAAATCAGAGTTCATGTTTGATATTCAAATACATTTCATAACTCAAACAGCTTTGAAATTATTTCTATCACGGCCAGAAGACAACTCATAAAACCAACATGCCCTTGCAGAAATCCATAAAGCTAGAAATGAATCCAAGGCATTCTCCAGAAACCGTAGTATTGACCATAATCAGATCTTTAGCCAACTGGCGCCGCATGGTGGCGCTAGCAGAGCGTATTATACATATAGCGCTCTACTAGCGCCATCATACGGCAGCAACTGGCAAAAAACTGAGTCGATACCAATGCCCTTCTCCAAGGCCAATGATTCCGTGTTGATGTGAAAATGGCGCATTTGAGCGTCATATATGCTATGCCTTACGCACGCTAATCTACTGCATAAAGGTTACAATTTTGAAACACGTTCGGGAAGAAATCATGTAAGTCTCAGAACCTTTGGTATTTATTCTTTATCTA